GAAGAAAGTGGTATCAAGAATGACACGTGCCAAGTTACCTGTCTGCTAAGTTAATTTATACAAAGGGTAACTTATAAATATTGCCTAGGACTTCTTAAGAATTCACTTGAACCAATCACTCTAACCCCTTTAAAGCCTGGGTTTTCTTGTCTGTGAAATCGGGCTTATCTCTAGGGTGCCTCATTGGGTCATGAAGATTAAGAAAAAACTGTAAAATGCCTACCACAGTGGTTGGCACAAAGCTGCCATTATTATTTGGAAGCCTATTATTAATAAATCTAAATCATTCCTATCAAAGAGCACCCACCAGACTCCCAACAAAGCCATATAAACCAAGGACTCCAGCCAACAGGCCCGGAAATTCTTGCAACTTCTCTAAGTGGTTTTTATTAAAGGCTTCAAGTCACCTCAATTTTCAAAGCCATCAAAACCTCCAGGTCCATTTACAGCCCAGAAGCATTCTTCAAGGCAGATTACCACTAGTAACCTGGCCCCTGGTACCGGAATAAGAGGAAGTGTGTCAGGACAGCACTTCATATCACCAACCTCAAAATAACTGCTTCATAATACCTGACCTTCCCTTAACCTCCATGGTAGTACCATCCCCCACCCAGAGGAATGGGGCAAGAGCTTGGTTCTGGGCCAGGGTCCATTGTTTGTCCATGAACAGCCTACTCTCTTGCCTCTTATTACTTTCTTTGCTCTTTCTAAATGACTTTCCCTAAACCCAAACACACCTTTCTCCTCTGGATTATATTCTGGGCTATTCACTGTAAATGTTCTTAGAACTGCATCTTAGCCCTACTGGAACAAAGCTAGAGGAAAATATCCAAGGAAAGGAATGTTATGTGAATGTCTGAAGCAATTAGCCAAGGCAAAGGAACTGCGGTATGCCACTCTGGCCAAAAAGATCAATTAAATCCCAGGAGCCAAATTCACCTATTTCCTGTGTGCATGAAGAGGAAACTTAAGCCAACTGCAGGAACAAAGACTCAAGTATATTAAACAAGTAGATAGGAAGCAAATGACCATTTATGACATGCAGTTTAGAAAATAGAACAGATTTTTTTTTCATATGTGAGGTAGGGTGAGAGGAAAGAGAAATTAAATATTTAAAATCTGAGCAACCCTTGTTCTTGTTACTTTCACAAAAGAAAGTTGTCTTTTCACCTTACCCTCCATTTCCTTTCTTCAACTCAGTCCTTTCAACAACTTCCAGCAAAATCAAGTATGAAGTATTGAGTCAGCTTTTGAAATACTACAGAAACCTTTTATGGAATTATGCTGAATTTGAGTCCACTGTTTTGCTAGAACAATGATCTAGAATCACTATATAAGAGGTCCTGAATGATATCTGTCATGGCAGCATTGATCTTTGCTGTAATGTTAAGGTAGCATATGCTAACCCTCAGTTCAACCTTAAAAGCCAATATCCAGAGTTTCCTAAACTATTTTCAATCTCTACCCACTCTGCCTTTGATTTGTTCTTAAATGCATGCCATGGATTATGGCTAATGAACTTTTTATTTAGCTACAAACCTATCCTTCCTTTTCGCTAAGGAAACATACATAGCAGTAGCCAGAATGGCAGACACTGGCAATGGCAAGCTTTCTAACAAACATATTAAAAACTACTGTTACCAGAGGCACCCTGTGTATTTTACAAAACCTAGCAAAAATCCTTTATAAGAGCTTTTATTTCCTTCCTCAGAAGCTTTCAATTAAGAAGGTAAACAAATGCTTTTAAGAGTATTTTATAGTATTTAACTGTTTAAAAAAATCACTTTAGTCAGAATGAACCCAACAATAAGTATTCTATACAAGTCTATCTGAAACCTTAACACTGACAAATATTTTCTTGGTCAAATTACAACAGAATTTTATATCATCCTGTTGGATAATCAGAGTTAGGTCTACTAATCAACATTCAAAGGACAAAATGAGTAAATGCCTTAAATACCTCAGTTTCCTTGTTTGGATTGTCACCAACTTTCACTACTGCCTCATTACAGAATAAACTGAAGGCATTTATTGCAACAGATTCATGACTGCATGTTAGTGGCTTAAACAGGAGCCCCAGAAAAACTACTTGAGAATTCAGATAGCTAGAAAATCACAATCTTTAACTTTACAACTGGGAATTGAGTGCAAAAGTAAAGTTCTTTATCAACTACACTGAGAACTATTCAGACTACACTAAACCAGTAGTTCCAACACCAGCCAAGAGGCCTGGCTACCCTCTCTCTCTAGAGGGATCTGTGATAAAGCTACACATGTACAAAACCCCAAAATTAATCTACATAATACTGCCTGAAAGACCACACTAATCCCTGCTTAGGTATTTAAAGCATTCGTTTATTATCGAGACACCTGGCCTCCACCCGGAATTCTATAAGCAATTTCTAGAAGTCCTCAGCATACCAGGTAAACAAGTTTGCTCTATCCAGTAGATCAGCTCTGAACTCAAGTCAGCCTTACAGTTTTTTAATCTTAAAAAGTTTTAAACTGGAACTCTACATCTGGGACTCCAAATGTTCCCCTGTCTACCACATATCCCCACTCCCACCAAAAACATCTTCCTATTACTGCTAATAACATTATAGCATGAAATAGCAGAGACTAGTACACGGACTTTGAAGTAACATGGAGAACATTCCACTCGACTCTGCCAATTCCTAAACTCTTGGCTTCTCAGCTTTTTCCTTCTTTAGAGATGAACAATTCCACTTTGCTGGACAGGTTAATAACTGGAGTATGGATAAGAGATGTACAAACCTAAGCCAGTACCTGGCACATGGTGAGCCCTCAATAAATGATAACTATTATCATGACGGTCATAATTTAATAATGAGAGGCAGGACTACAAAAATGACAAAATCTTCCCTGTAAAAGGACACACTCTAGTGTGTTAGCACTAGAGTGTTAGCACTCCACTAACACAAGGAAATAGGCATGATGTGTGTTTGGTGCATAATAGCTGTCAGATACTCTTCCAAGCTCTTAGCTCATTTGTTTTCTGAGATAATTTACTTAATTCTGATTATCTCCACCTTTACAAAAAAGGAAATTCAGACACTCAAGGTCTGGCAAATCTAAAAAAACTGAATCACAGCTACTGCTCGTAACCACAACTCCACACTGAACAAAACCATTCAAGGATGACTCCTCTTCAACAGAGGGATGGATCTTGGGCCAGGTTATTAAACATGAAATTTGAGTTTCAAAAGTCCTTGGGCCCCACCCTCCCCTGTTTAAACTTGAACACTATCCAAGGCTAATTCAACATTAAAGGGTAAAACAACTTAGTGGTTTAGGAGTGTGGACTGGTGAGTCAGACAAAGCAGGTTTTAAGTAAGGCCTGCTGTGAGACACATACTAGCTGGGTGACCTTACCTTTTGTGAACCTCAGTTTCCTCATCCGCAAAATGGGGATAAAAGTAGCACTTAGTCCACCAATCTCTTCCTTCCGAGTAGTAAAGCAAGGATAATGCAAGGATTCACATAAACCACGCTGTACAGTATTCTTAGTGTTAATTTTTAAATAATGGGAGCTATAGGAAACGGGAGTAAGGGAAGAATGACAGTGGAAAGCGGAGCTGTACCTGGGTGACCCAGACACCAGAGCGAGGATCCTCCCCAGCCTTCGGGACAGACACCCCCACCCCCCGCCCACCGCCCTGGGAGCCCGCCCTTACCACTCTTGGGTTTAGACTCGCCGGCCGGCCCCGCCGAGGCGGAGCGGGGCGGCTGTTGCCCTTTGCTGCTGCCCGAAGAGGCGGAGGAGCTGCTGGAGCCGCTGTTCTTGTCCATGTCGGAAGCGGTGGCGGCGGCGTTGGGGGAGCTCTGCGGCATCAACGGGGGCCTCGGCGGCGGCGGCGGTCGGAGCGGAGCGGGCGCGGCGGGGACCCAGGCTCATGGCGTTCGGGGCCGGCGGGGGTCGGCGGCGGCAGCGGTTCTCGGCCTTCATGGCGACATTTTTCCCTGTTTCCTTCCTCGGCTTCTCAAACTGGAAAGAGAAGCAGCGGACGGGGCTGTCGAGCCCGGCGGCAGCGGCGGCAGTGACAGAGAAGGAGGAGGCCGGGGCTCGGAGGTCCGGGCCGGGCCTGGCGGGGCGGAGGCTACGGGGGAAGGGGAGTCGAGGGAAGGTGTGCGAGCCCCGCCGGCCGGCCGGACACGCTCTCCCGCCGCGGGGCAGGGGAGAGGGCTGGCTGTCTTGGTGTCGGGGACCGGTGTCTCCGACACAGCGACCGACACTCGCCTCTGGGCCGAGGCCGAGGTGCTCCGGGAATGGCGACGAGTCGCCAAACAGCATCTCGAAGAACCCGGATGGACTATATATATAATGGCGATGTGGGAGTGAAGCCCTCTGGGAAATGTAGTTTTCTGTCTACATCCGGGCCCAGTGATTCTACCCCCTCCCCCCTTCCCCCCTCCCGAAAAGATGATGGGACTTGTAGTTCAGGTTTTAGCTTTAGAACGCTAAGAATGTGTATAATAATATGCACTACTAATAACGAATCCAAACATTCGAATACCTGTGAAATCCTTTTATTTACTCATTATTTAATTTGTAGTTCTTATTCTAGTATTAATATCAATTTATTCATGGTCCTTATTTTACCTAATAATAATAATAATGACAAAACCTTACATGTAATATCATTTTACAACACTTCATACAAAATTTCATTTCATTGTTAACAAGTCATTTATTAATATAAGTCATTGTTAATATTACATTTCATTGTTAATAACATTATGAGTGCTTGTCATTAACAGGCATTGCACTGTGGGTAATATGAATCATCACACTTAATCCTCACATTAACGCAAATATAAAGACAAGGAAACTGGCTTAAAAAGCTTCCATCGATTACCCACGATCACACGGCTAATAAATGATGTTCTCAACTACCTATGAGATAAGCGGTTCTCTATTTTACAGATATGGACACTGCGACTCAGAAAATCTTGTCACATCCATCTGTACTTTGGAAAATTATAGATGATTCCTTCCAACCATAGCAGTGAGATTCGAAGGATCACATACAAACATCATTAAAGAGATGAACAAATAATTTTTCAGACTAACCTCAACTAGTTAGAAACCTATTATACGCCCGGCACTGTGCTGAGCACAAGGAATGCCAAAATATATTCATATTGAGGTCTTTAATATATTCACAGTTTCCTAAGTGAATTAAGCAAATAAGAAACTACAGTGGCTAGGCCAGTGCTCATCAAGGGCAAGGCCATGTTCAGTTCGCACGTAAATATCATGAAGCCGAATGGCTATGGATGAGTCCAGCACCTTCGAGGCTCTATTTGAGCTGCAGATGAACACGTGTTCAAGGCCCAGCTAAGGGAGCCAAATGTAACAACAGCCAAGAAAACTTAAGTTAGTGGTGGTCAGAAAGCTATTATAATCTTTGTTTGCATTCCTCAACTTAAATCTTTCCAGAAAATCCAAGTCCAGCTAGTAAGTAAACTGGAGAAAAAGTTCAGTGGGAAGTATGATATCTTTATTGCCCAGAGTTGCCTGAGCCAACTCAAAAAACGCTGTACAAAAAATAAGCAAGCGTTCCACACTCTGGCAGCTGTGCACGATGCAATCCTGGAGAGCTTAGTCTTCCCAAGTAAAATTGTGCACAAGAGAGTCCACATGAAACTGGATGGCAGCCAGCTCATAAAGGTTCATTTGGATAAAGCATAGCAGAACAATGTGGAACACAAAGGTAAAACTTTTCCCGTCTATAACAAGCTCACTGGCAAGGATGTTAATTTTGAATTCCCCAAGTTTCACTTGTAAACAAAACTAACTGAAAAACATATCATTCACAGAAAGCAAGCAAGCAAGCAAGCCAGCCAGCAAACTACAATGGAAAATGGTAGTAAGAGCTATAATAGGGGCACCTGGGTGGCTCAGTGGGTTAAGCGTCTGACTTTGGCTTAGGTCATGATCTCATGGTTTGTGAGCCCCGCATCATCAGGCTAACAGTGCCTGCCTGGGATTCTCTCTCTCCCTCTCTCTGCCCCTCCCCAAATTGCACATGCACGCATGCGCATGCCCTCTCTCTAAATAAATAAACTGAAGAAAAAAAAACCCTCTAATTCCTTTAAAAAAGAAAAGAGCTATTGTAAAGTTAATACAAAATGCTGACTGTAGCAAAGGCTCCAAGGAGAGAAGTACAAAGAGGTGAGGGCAGGTAGAAGAAGGCTTCCCAGAGAGGTGTCACTTGAGCTGAGCATGGAAGGATGAGTGGAATTTCAGCAGTCATATATGAACAAATAAATAGACAAAATCCTGGGATTCCCCTAATTGGATCCTTTTTGGCTCCTTATTTATCATCACATGTGACACAAAACATTAATAAGTACTGTATACGTAAATCAATCAATTGCTTGAAATTAAGTTTTAACTGAAATTAAGAAAATTAGGTACTGATCTCATATTTTTAAATTTCCTTAAAATGCTTGTCTTGCTTCACTCTTTGCAGTTTTTTCCCCACAAATCATATTGAAATGAGAGAACAGGTACATAACGTTGGTCTGAAAACTTACTTTGATGTCTAGAAGGAACAGTCCCAAATCCTGAGCTCCATCCTTATATATGACTAGATAAGGAAGATATACTACGGTTCCTTGATGAATTTTTATTTCCTTTAACAACAATGTGAGAACTCTGATTACATGGATGAATCATTCCTTCTATCACTCTTAAAAATAAAAGAGAGGGAAAGAGGAAAAGCCCGTGCAGTTCTTCCAAAAGAAAGCAGTGGGTGTCCATCTGTCAGGCTACACATTAAACCAGGAAGAGATTTTTCATTTTCAAAATAGTTTCTTAGGGTCCTTGGCGCTTTCTCCTTGTGAAATATTTACAGGAAACATACATTTAAAAAGAGAATCAAAGCAGAAACATATAGAAATCCAAGCAAAACTCACCACCTCCATCCTCTTTTGAGCAAGATGGTCTACATTACCCTTTCCATAAAAAAAGAACAGGAAAATCTGGGGTTGAAGTAAACATCCATGCTCTGCCAGTTGGTGCTAAAAGTGTAGCTTTGTGACAGCAGAAGAGGGAGGGTGAGTGGTGATTGTGTCTGACTCGCTAAACAGTCACCAGAGCTTTCCTTCCCATTTATGAACTTCTTAAGTTAAAAAATGGAATGACCAAAGAACAGCCTTTCATATGTTTATTTTTCAGAGTAGTCTAGCATATGTTTCTCAAGAAAGGTCTGCGAATTCTTTGCATCAGAATCATCAGAGAAGCTTGTTCAATAAAGATTCCCAATACCCATCCCAGATTTACGGATTCAAAATCTCTGGTCTTGGGGGCCCAGGAATCTGCATTTTAAACATCAAACTAGGTGATTCTTAGGCACATCAAAGTTTTAGAGAATTGACCTTGTAATCTACTTGGAAACCACACCGTATCTCAATTTCCTCCTTCTGCATCAGAAAACCAGAGTTACTGTATACCTTGTGAGTTAGCATTCACACTACTGGTTGACAAGATTCAGAGACATGGCCGCTGAGACGCGACTGGGGGCTCTTCCTAAGGTCCCTTCATTTCTGGTAAATTCTATATTCAACGTGGGAAGAAAGAAAAAGGATTTCGGGTGCTCAAAGACTAGCCTCTGGATCCCAGAGATCATGCATAGCTCTCTAGTAAAGGGTTTCAGGGCGCGTTCAATCACTACTGTCTCCTACCGGCCGCCGTCGACCCTCTAGTGATGCAACATGACGTACGGTCTGGCTGCTGTCACCCTACTGCCAAGATGGCGGCCCCCAGGAGCTGCGCTCTATGGAGCTATTGCGGTCGTAGGTGGTCGCGGCTGATGCGGTGCTGCGAGCTCCCCGGGCTTCGTAGCTCCTGGCCTGGGGGTCCGCTGGGTGCGCGGCAATTATCCCAAGAGAAGCAGGCAACGGAAACACACTTCGGATTTGAGACTGTGTCGGAGGAAGAGAAGGGGGGCAAAGGTGAAAGGGGCGAGAGGGCGGATGGAGGGATCTATTTGCGATCTAGTTTCTTCTGCTCAGCCAGGAGTTGGTTTTACGTCCTGTTGACCCGTATGCCGTGGCCTGTGCAGTCCTGACCTTCAAGGAGTCACCTCAGCCTGACTCCTCAGAGCTTAGATGCCTCCTCTTATTGAACACAATAATTCTCACTAAATCCCATCAGTTGGATGTTTATGATGTGCCAGGCACCATGCAGATATTATTTCCACTTCTCATTTCACCCTTCCGACAGTGGGTATTGTTATGCCCAAGTTACACAGGAGGAAACTGAGACTTAAAGATCAAACAACAATTTGCCCAATTTAACATGGTGGAACGAGCATTCCAACTCAGTTTGGTGTGACCACACAGCTCATGTTTTTCACCTCTTGCTAAAGGGATGGACCATTTTTTCTAGAAAGGAAGAAGGAAACTAACTTCTCTGGACCTCAGCTTCCAAGTTTTATATGTAGGAATAATAGTAACCTTTCTCTTAGAGTTATAATAAGGATTAGATTACTTCATAAGTTAAAGTATTTTGAACAACGCCTGGCACTTCATAACTGCTAGATAAAGGTTAGGTATTGTTGAGCACTTTCTTTGTGTCCATTGTGCTATAGGCATGGGAAAGGAAAAGAACTATTTTAAAACTCCCATCTGTACCACTTATAATGGGGAAGGTATTATGCCCATTTTACAGATGGGTATGGTGAGGCTCTGAGAGTTTCCTTCACTTGGCCTATGGTCACCCAGGAAATAAAGAGAAAGAATTCACAATGGAATGTCCCATCCTTCTAAAGACCACTTCGTTGTCTTACCTCTCACCTCCGCCTTACTAAATACATAGATTTACTGTAGTAACTCTTTGAATATTTATTTTAAATTAACATTTATTTCACAGAACTGTGAATCCCCAGAAAGCTAGTACAGTGGCTCATTCATGTCTATATCTTAGTGCTTGGTGCACATTAAAAGCTTGATAACTGCTTGTGAAATAAGAGGGGTCAAGTAAAATGACAGTAAACTTTTATTAAGGACTTGAAACATTTTTACATACTTCACATTAATTCTTACAAATACAACCCTATGAGGTAGGGATTAGTAGCCGGATATTATAGATGGAGAAACTGTTGAAACAGAGATGTTAAGTCACTTGCCCAAGGTTCTGCTAATAAGTGGCAAAATTGGGGATTTGAATTCAGGTGGGTTGCTTCCAAAATGATAATGCCTAACCTCTGTATTGTACTTTACAACATATAAACAACATCTCACACAATGACAAGCAAGGAAGAAATTACCCACTGAGCTAAATCTAGATCTCCCACCTTGGGAGCCAACATTGAAGTGCAGGCAGTCTTCCTCTTGCACACTATTGCAGGACTATAAAAATGACCATGCACGCTGAAATCATGCACAATGATCTTAATTATCAATGAGAAAAATTGCAACTGTTCCATGACCTCTAAAAATTATTCAACATCAGGGTCACCTGGCTGGCTCAGTTGGTGGAGCATGTGACTCTTGACCTCAGGGTCATGAGGGCATAGAGCTTACTTAAAAAAAAATTGTTGGGGCGCCTGGGTGGCTCAGTCTGTTGAGCATCTGACTTTAGCTCAGGTCATGATCTCACAGTTCGTGGGTTCGTGCCCCGCAACAGGCTCTGTGCTGACCGCTTGCTCAGAGCCTGGAGCCTGCTTCAGATTCTGTGTCTCCTTCTCTCTCTCTGCCCCTCTCCCGCTCACGCTTTGTCTCACTCTGTTTCTCAAAAATAAATATATGTAAAAAAAATTTTTTTTTAATTATTGAACATCAAAAACTTCCTCACTGTTAATTATAAATGTATAGGGCCAATGAAACAAATAGTAAAGTCAATATTTACTTAGCACACTATAATTTAAAATTAGGTTTAATTTGTTTTTATTCTTTTTTTTTTTTTTTTTTTTTTTTTTTTGGTGGGCTACACACCCAACCTGGGGCTTGAACACACAACCCTGAGATAAAGAGTCAGATGCTCTACTGACTGAGCCAGCCAAATGCCCCCAGATTAGGTTTAATTTTAACTTATTTAATGTAGGGGCGCCTGGGTGGCTCAGTGGGTTGAGCATCCGACTTTGGCTCAGGTCATGATCTCACGGTTTGTGAACTTGAGCGCCATGTCGGGCTCTGTGCGGACAGCTCAGAACCTGGAGCCTGCTTTGGATTCTGTGTCTCCCTTGCTCTCTGCCCCTCCCCTGCTCACACTCTGTCTCTCTCTCAAAAATAAATAAACATTTAAAAATATTATAAAGATGTAACACATAAAAAAATCTTATTTAATATAGTTAGGATTTTCAAATTTAAAATTTTTCAATTGAGTTAAAATTCTAATAAAATTAGAAACACTAAGCTGTTTTATTCCTTCATAAAAAAATGAATGAAGAGTAGTTTGAACAGTGTTTGCTACCTTCTGGTCATATATTTGCAATAGGGAGCAAGCATCTTCTCTATGCCTTGGCAAATTGCCATACTCCTTTCTAAGTTTCAATCAGCTTGTAACATTTTATCTTTTCACTTTCAAGGGTCATGAAATATCTCCAGGAATTCCGTTAGTGTGAGATTTTTTTTCACTGGCATCATTTCCTCTGGGACATCTTCAACCTTTTGTCACAACCACATCCTCATTTATGTCCATAAGTTCATCTTCACAAAGTTTTTCCAGCTGCGTAGCTAGAGTCTCTCGAGTATCAACGTTGTCAGCTGTTTCTCCTATAATCCCATGGACGTTTCACTTCCAGTATTACCACTTTTCACTTCTTTGCGGTGCTTTCATTTTCGTTGGCCAATTTCCTCTTTTTTTTTAATATATTTTTTTTAACATTTATTCATTTTTGAGAGACAGAGACAGGGCATGAGCGGGGGTGGGGCAGAGAGAGAGGGAGACGCAGAACCTGAAGCAGGCTCCAGGCTCCCAGCTGTCAGCACAGAGCCCAACATGGGGCTCAAACTCAACAACAGTGAGATTAGACCTGAGTTGAAGTCAGACGCTTAACTGACTGAGCCATGCAGGCGCCCCGGCCAATTTCCTCTTTGGATTACCTAGTTTTGTAAAATGCCGCATGTGTTTACAACTGAGAGATAAGGAGGTAACACAACTACATGCTTTGCTGTCTGTGTGTGAACTGAATGACTGATGTGCAGTGACCTAGCAACCACAAACTTAAAGAAGTGACATGATTGGTTACTGATCATGATATGTCTGTTATTTACAGATTGATTTATGAACTGAAGAACTACCAGCGGAGTTTGCACTGTATGCAATTACTCACAGTTTATATACCATTGGAACTGAATGATGTTGCTGGGGGACTGATGTTATTTAACTAAGCCACCATAACTGAAATTCATGTATATCAGAACCATGCAAAGCAAAAATTGCTTATACTCAGGGGGTTGAGCCTTAGTGTCCCTCAATACCCCAAAAGATGTTCAAAAGAAAAAAGCAAGCTTGGAGATCCTGGGGTTGAGAAAGGCGCTCAAGATGGAGTTAAAGGAGGAGCTCTGTAGTGTGCTGATTCAGCAGAGGACAGTGATGGTTTGGATCTATGCAGCACATTTCATCTGAAACTCAAAGCGTCTCTCCTTCATTACCTAATTTAGCCTTATGGCAGGGTGATAGGGAGCTGACACTGAGTTTTTCATCTTATGGGCAGAGAAACAGGTGTAAAGCAGTTAAATGTAGCCTGTGCTTTAAAGTGTTTTGGATAGTAAATTCCTTTTCCAGTTAGCTCAGATTCCACATTCACCCTTGATCCTATTAGATTAATGAGGAGAAAATTTAGGAGGGCCCTCTGCAGTGTGACTTGGCCCTAAATTGTACCTGTTGTTTTTCTGTGATCCCAGCAGAGATGAACTGAGACCTTCCTGTCTATTAGCCATGTCTTTCCAATGGTTTTGTTGTTTTTCTACTATAATAACCATTAGAAAAATTCCATACCCCCCCCCGCCCCCGCCATCCTCTAAGAACTGGAAACCTACTTAGTACCAAGTAGGTGTGTGGCATTATCGAGGCATTGGTCCTAGATAAAGGTAACTAAGACAGCAGAAAAGAGGTTGGTTTCCTACCTAGAATAATTTAAGCCTTTTTTTTTTTTCAACGTTTATTTATTTTTGGGACAGAGAGAGACAGAGCATGAACGGGGGAGGTGCAGAGAGAGAGGGAGACACAGAATCGGAAACAGGCTCCAGGCTCTGAGCCATTAGCCCAGAGCCCGACGTGGGGCTCGAACTCACAGACTGCGAGATCGTGACCTGGCTGAAGTCGGACGCTTAACCGACTGCGCCACCCAGGCGCCCCTAATTTAAGCCTTTTTAAAAAGAGGTTAAGGGGTAGATTGAGGGGTCACCTGGGTGGCTCAGTTTGTTGAGCGTCTGAATTCGGCTCAGGTCATGATCTTGCAGTTTGTGAGTTCAAGCCCCACATTGGGCTTGCTGCTGTCAGCACAGAGCCCACTTCGGATTTTCTGTCTCCCTCTTTCTGCAGCCGCTGCACTCTCTCAAAAATAAATAAACATTAAAAAAAAAAAAAAGGCGGGGGGTAGATTTGGGCATCAAGCATTATAGCTTAACTTCAACAAAGACAGGCAAATTCAGGGGAGAAAAGCTTCACCCTCTTTCATTTAGGACTTCCCCAAGTTAATCTTGTTAATAGCACAATTAATTGTGTTGTATTTCTCCTATGTCAGTCTATCATGTGTTTGAAAGTGTGGCCAAGAAGTATGATGTGATGAATGATATGATGAGCCTTGGTATCCACCGTATTTGGAAGGATTTGCTGCTCTGTAAGATGCGCCCGTTTCCTGGGACCCAGCTGCTCGATGTTGCTGGAGGCACAGGTAATGTCCAGTTGAGAATCCTTGAGTATCCTGAGCATTACTTTACAGAAGTTAGTGTTTCTTGTTGGAATGAGCTAGCTTAACTACCATTAGGCTGAAGATGGTAATTGAAAATCAATATACTTCTTTCTTTAAATTTTTTTAATGTTTATTTATTTTGAGAGAGAGAGAGAGACAGTGTGCATGGGGGAGGGGCACAGAGAGAGGAGAGAGAGAATCCACATCACTGTCAGCACAGAGCCTGATGTGGGACTCAAATTCATGAAACTGTGAGATCATAAATTGAGTCTAGATCAAGAGTTGGATGCTTAGCCCACTGAGCCACTTAGGCACCCCCAAAATCAATTTACTTCTAAGAAACGTTTAACTAAATATCACTCAAAAGCACGAAATATCAACTTCATGCCTATCATTTTTCTAAAATGCACAAGTTACAAAGTAAATAGATTACTTTTTAATCCAGCAACATCTCACCCTCTACTTGACCATTTTCTTTTCTTTTTTTATTTATTTTTGAGAGAGAGAGAGCACGAGCAGGGCAAGTGGCATAGATATAGGGAGACACAGAATCTGAAGCAGACTGCGGGCTCCAAGCTGTGAGCTGTCAGCACAGAGCCCGATGTGCGGCTCGAACTCGCAAGCTGTGAGATCACGACCTCAGCCAAAGTCGGATGCTTAACCGACTGAGCCACCCAGGCACCCGACCATTTTATTTTCTGTTTAACCTTTAATCCACTTTCCCTTTTTCTTTGGGGGGGATGCCCTTTATAATATTTCATAAGCTCTCTAGACAATCTTTTCTGCTCAATCCACTATCACATCAGAAATCAAAAGCTCAATTGTGTTTTGGTTTTTTTTGAGCAGCAGACAAAAGTTTATTAGAATATAAGATTAGAAAGAATTGTAGGAAAACTCTCTTTACAGACAGGGGACGTTTGAAAGTGAATGCCCCAAAAGCTCAATTGTTTATATGTGATTCTTTGTTACTTGGTGCACACTAGGCATTTGGGGAGAAAATGTCACAGTTTCTAAAATGCATCTTGGGATGTTATCAAATGGTTAATTTACATGTTAAATTACATTAGAATAATGTGTCATACAATGTAATAATGTCATAATCTATACCAATTGAATAATATGGAATAACAAATTACAGAACAGTCTCCATGTGTGAAACACGTTTATGTCTGGTCCTCTCCTCAATGGAAACTCAGAAAGCAGTAAGACACCTTGTTCAGTGGAAGACAATTTAACAGAATCTATTAAAATTTAGAATCTTTAGGGGCTCCTGGGTGGCTCAGTTGGTTAAGCATCTGACTTGTGGTTTCAGCTCAGGTCATGATCTCAAGGCTTATGAGATCCAGCTCTTCATCAGGCTCCACGCTGATAGTGCGGAGCCTACTTGGGATTCTTTCTCTCCCTCTCCCCCTGTTCCCTGCTCCTGTGCGCTCTCTTTCTCAAAAATAAATAAAACTTTTTTAAAAATCTAGAATCTTTATAGTCTAGGATCCTACAATTCCAATTCTCCATGTGTAGTCTAAAAAAAAGAAAAAAATAACTTGCACAAAGATACAGATATAGAAAGGGTTCAGTCAGAGCTGCTTACATCTGTGGCTTAACCCATAACATTACTGCATACTGGCAACTGCCCATTTAGAAAATGTAATTAGAAGGTAATCCCATATATTAAAAAAGACATTTTAAAAATATATAGCTACAAATATGCTCACTGCATCATTTTTAGTAGTAGTGAAAAATTGGAAGTAACCTATTTCTGCCTCAGTAAAGAAATTGTTTTAAATTAAGATACATCCCTTCTACGAAATATTATGTAGCTATTTAAATGAATGCTATAAATACTGGTGGAAAGTTCTCAAGGACATATTCAGTGGGAAGAGAAAGAAAACAAGTTGTGTAACTATGTGTAGAATATCCCGGTGTAGGTTTTAAGTTGTTTTATAGGAGTACGTATAAAGTACTTAAATATATAGAAAAGTGACCAGAGAATGACTAATTTGTTGCAGAGACTGGAAAAACTTAAGAAGATATATTTCTTGCAAATAGTGTAAGGATAACAAAGACAACTTTATAACAAAGGAAATGCGATCCTAGAAAGCACTGTTTTGGCCCAAACAGTATTTACCTGGTCACGATAACATAAACACTTTTGATTTTCAGCTTTTAGACTCTAACCAGCAAAGCAGAGGAGACATAATTATAGCGGTAGAACAAACAATGTATGTTATCAGTCATGACGGCATTAAACTTCACACAATAGAAGGCTGAAGGGGTTCAAGAGGTACCATCTGTAGCTGATGAAATAGAAATAAAATATTAATTAGTCTGTTACTCTAGTTTACAAAGGGATCTGTGAGGAACTATGAAATGTGATACAAATATATTGGGAAGATGGAGGCAACCAGAGAAGAGGGGCGGGGTATCATTATAAGCACGGTAAGTAAAGAGCTGGAACCAACAGAAGGAACAGCTGAAAGAGTTGAGAAAGATGGTCTCTGGGGAGCTGAACTGGGCATGGGAAGTGGTAGGGCAGGGAACCATTGCTGGTAACTATACCCTTTCTTTCCTAACAATTATTAGAGACTAGAAGGGCTTCACACTAAGCACTTGACACTGGTTGTGTCTGGAGAGGGTATGGAGAAAGAATGGAACTTTTATGTTTTCTTCTAAATATTTAGATGAGTCTTTTGTAGTGAGAACTATCCATGCATTACTTATGCTATTTTTTTTTAAGTTTTGTTTTTTGTTTTTTGTTTTTCTTTAAGTAGGCTCGATGCCCAGTGTGGAACCCAGTGGGGGGCTTGAACTCACGATGCTGAGATCAAGACCTGAGCTAAAATTAAGAGTTGGATGCTCAACCAACTGAGCCACCCAGGCACCCTAAAAGGTTTTTAAGAATATTAGAAGTTAACAGGGAACCTGGCTGGTTCAGTTGATAGAACATGCAACTCTTTTTTTCTCAATTTTAATTTTTTATTTTAGAGAGAGAGAGAGAGTGAGAGAGCACAAGCAGGGGAGGGGCAGAGGGAGAGAGAGAGAGAGAGAGAGAGAGAGAGAGAGAGAGAGAGAGAGAGAGAGAGAGAGAATCCTAAGCAGCCTCCACACTCAGCGCAGAACCCGACTCGGGACTCAATCCCATGACCCTGGGATCATGACCTAAGCCAAAATCAAGAGTTGGATGTTCAACAACTGGGCCACCCAGGTGTCCCAAGTGTCTGACTCTTGATTTCAGCCCAGGTCATGATCTCATGGTTCATGGGATGGACATGTCGAGCTTTGCGCTGACAGCACGCAACCTGCTTGGGTTTCTCTCTCTCTCTCTCTCTCTCTCTGCCCCTCCGCCACTCCTGCGTATGTGTGTGCTCTCTCTCTCAAAATAAATAAAATAAACATTAAAAAATAAAATGAAATCTTAAAAAATATATTAGAAGGGACACCTGGGTGGCTCAGTTGGTTAAGCATCCAGCTAACTCTTGGTTCCAGTTCAGGTCAAGTTCTCACAGTTTGTGGGTTCGAGCCCCATGTCAGGCTCTGTGCTGGCAGCACAGAGCCTGCTTGGGATCCTCTCTCTCCCCCCTCTCCTGTTTGTGCTTGCTTTTTCTCTCTCTCAAAATTAAATAAGTAAGTTTTAAATGTATATATATATATATATATATATATGAAGTTTTTAAAAATTGATGTTAGTAGTTACTATATAAATGAAGAGAAACTTCAATTTTTGTACACTCCTCAAATCTTGTCCCTTTGTATCTCTGTTTGGGTTTTGGAAATGCTGGGGTTTTGTTTATATTTGTGTTTGCATCTTTCCTCCTGTTGGCTTTCCACAGGTGACATTGCATTCCGGTTCCTTAATTATGTTCAGGCACAGCATAAGGGAAAGCAGAAGAGGCAGTTACGGGCCCAGCAAAATTTATCCTGGGAAGAAATTGCCAAAAAGTACCAAAACGAAGAGGACCCCTTGGGCGGTTCCCGGGTTGTGGTCTGTGACATCAACAAGGAGATGCTAAAGATTGGAAAGCAGAAAGCCCATGCTCGGGGATACAAAGCTGGTAAGTCAGTCCTATAGAAAGTAGACACTGCAGGAATGTTTGTGTCCTTTTTGTTTTTTTGGGTTTTTTTTTAACATTTATTTTTGAGAGACAGAAAGAGACAGAGCACGAGCAGAGGAGGGGCAGACAGAGAGGGAGACACAGAAACCAAAGTAAGCTCCAGGCTCTGAGCTGTCAGCACAGAGCCCAACGCAGGGCTGGAACCCACAAACCAGGAGATTATGACCTGAGCCGAAGTCAGACACTTAACCAACTGAGTCAACTAGGCGCCCCATTTTTGTATGTTTATGAAATGAGATATGTAAAATGTTGAAGAGCTTTATTTTTCAGCTTCCAAAAACGTACAGATAGGCAGGAATCAACGATAATTTGCATGAATCCAGTTTGTATGCTGTTATGTACATTATTTCAGCACCCCAGGGAGTTAGATTATCAGCCCCATGTGACCAAAGCCCAAAAAGTTGAAGTGTCCTACTCAAGTCACACAACTTTTAAATAGGCAGACCCCAATTTGGAGCTGAATCTTCTCATCTTAGCCCTTAGGCCCTGAGATAGTTTTGCTTTCAATTCCCGGCAACTCCCTGCTGACCCCAGTGTCCTGTTTTTGAGCCACATCATATCCCATCAGTACTCAAAGGGGTTGACAGATGTGGTAGCTGAGAAGGTGCTTTGCCCCTAAAGCAGAAACTTGTCCTTCAGACACAAGGAGTGCAAGCAGCTGACAGCCTCCAGCTCTTACAACTTTTAGGCTCTGCCTCAGCTTCCAAGTTGGGCTCTTTTCTGGCAGGGCTCCAGAGCTCCCTATTGGCTTGGCTAAGGCTTTATCAGATCTGCACTGATCTGTAGGCTTTCTCTGCTCAGTCTTGCTTCCTCTTCCTTTTATCTTCCCTGGGTGTTCTCCCCTGCACTCCCCCTCCAAAACAAACAAACAAACAAAACATTTGCACTCCTCCATCATCTCAGCATGTTTCTTGCTTTTTTTTTTTAATTATTTTATCAGCATCTGCTTTTCAGAGGCCCCAGCTGATAGAGTTAAAGAAACACCCGTAAACAGTACTCTCAGCAGCACACAGGAGAGTGACTGCACATCTCTGGGAACCCACTGCAACCTGAAAATGGATAGTTTGTGCCCTGGCTTAAAGACCTAGATTTCACATTTCGCTTTCTGTTTGTTTTCATATTTTAAAATACTTTCCCCCAGTTTTTTCCAAGTAGAAGTGAGGATCCGGCAGCCACACCACCATTTAGCTCACTTTTCACAGCTGCTGCACTGCCCTCTTCCCAGCTCGCCAAGCACTGCAGGCAGCCACTGTGTGAGACAGTGAGATAGGACAAAGAAAATAAAGTCCCTCAGGTCAACATCAGCGTTCCTGGCCTCCCCTTCCCCCACCAGGAGTATCTATGGTTATTTTAGTTCAATTCTTCCTCCTCCTCCTCCTCCCACCCCCAGAACAAGCTGCCTAGACGAACAACCCACTTGGCCTACAAGATGAAGGGCTCTTTTGTTAACCATCAACGCTGATCAGAAAGCAGACAGTCCCTAGTGTTTTTAGACAAAGGCACTATGTTTCCTTACTCCTACTGAAAAACGTGTTTCCCTTCCCTCTGGTGCTTAGCCGTAAAGAATGGAGAACAACGAAAGAAATGATAGGCAGTGTTCCATTTCTGGATTCACCTCTTCCATACCATAGCTTGCCCTTCAGCCTCTCCCAACTGCCAGGACAAATCCACTGGCATAGGAATTACCAAGTGCTGCATAGGACAGTTTTTTATCTTTCCTCCTGGCTTTGTCAGTCTCCGATAATGATGTCTTTGTAAAAACTCTCATGCAAAAAGAGTTGAAACTAAGGAGGATCCTAGAAATTATTTTGTAATAGTAAAAGTTAATGTGAAAGGCATATTTATGTGTAGCGCTGTTTATTTGTATTTTATGTGGAGCACTTCTTCCCCAAATGTAAGCTCGGTGGGCTGGAGCTTTAAACAAATTATTTCATAGGTTATAAAAGTGGTATATTTGGGAGAACTTTTGGATTTTGGAAAAGTATTAAGAAGAAAGTAAATGTTACCTATAATTGCAAATCATTTTCATTTCCTTTTTATGAAATTAAAGCCTTCCTGTATATACAAATTTAGTATCCTGCCCTAATTCAGCATTGTATCATGAGATTTTTCTATGTCATTAAAAATTCCTTAAAATCATTATTTATTATATTCTCCTGTATGGATGTGAATCATGAAGATTTCACATAACCAATTTACATCACCAATAACCAACTGATCTTTCATTTTTTTTCTAGTGTTTTTGCACATTGCACAGCATTGTAACATCCATATTTGTAAATTTTTGCATGCATTTGTTAATGTTTTTACCTTCTATATAACCTTGGACAATTGTTTAAACTCTTTACATTTCAATTACTTTATCTATAAAATGGAGAGAATAGGGACGCCTGGGTGGCCAGTCAGTTAAGCGGCCGACTTCAGCTCAGGTCATGATCTCGCGGTTCGTAAGTTCAAGCCCTGCATCGAGCACTGTGCTAACAGGTTAGAGCCTGGAGCTTGCTTTGGATTCTGTGTCTCCCTCTCTCTCACCCTCTCATTCACTCACACTGTGTCTCTGTCTCTCTCAAAAATAAATAAACTTAAAAAAAATTTTTAAATAAAGAGAATAAAAACCACCTTATAGTAGGAGGCAATGTACCATAGCTGTTGAAAAACACAGGCTCTGGGATAAAACAACCTGAGTTCCAGTCCCTCCATATGACCTTGGGTAAGCTGCTTTAACCTTTCTGATACTCAGCTTTGCTCATCTAAAACGTGAGGATGATAATAAGAGCTATCCCATGGAGTTGGTATGAGAATGTGATAAGATAATGTATTTAAAGTGATAATACAGACCCTGCCACCAAGGGGTCGGAGCAGTTGCAATGATGATGATGATGATGATGTCATCAATGTCCTCCTCCTAAAAATCAAATAGCTGGGTCAAAGGGTATGCTTATTTTTATTTTATTTTTATTTTATTTTATTTTATTTATGCTTGTTAACAACTGCTAGTTTGCTTTCCAGGGAGGTTATTTTCATTTACTGTCCTCTACAGAGCTTTCCTTCTATATTGCATTTTATGTCTAATTCACTGCACGTTGGGTAATACTAAAGCCGAATCAATATCCTTAGAGGACATAGCCACCGTTATAGGGTTCCCTTGGGTGTTTTCTGAATTTGTGACCAGACTTGGGTCTTGACCCTTTAATTCTCCAATAGAACCAATATAACTAGGCTAAATTGTGTACTTAGAATACTTCCAATGACACTCTGATACTCTTATTTTTTTATTTTTTAAAATTATTTTTAGCATTTTATTTATTTTCAAGAGAGAGACAGAATATGAGTGGGGGAGGGGCAGAGAGAGAGGGAGACAGAATCCACGAAGCAGGCTCCAGGCTCTGAGCTGTCAGCACAGAGCCCAACCTGGGGCCCGAACCCATGAACTATGAGATCATGGCCTGAGACAAAGTCAGACACTTAACCGACTAAGCCACCCAGGTGCCCTTTAAAAACATTTTTTTTAATGTTTCATTTCCTCTGATACTCTTATTAACTCCACTTTACAGATGAGGAAACCAAGTCAAAGTAGTTTATTCAAGATTATATAGCTAATAAATGGTGAAGCTGGAGTTAGAACTTGGGCAGTCTAACCCCAGGACCCGGGATCTTAACCACGGTGCTTTACACAAAACACTTAGTTGGGTAAAAGTTGCTTGAGGGTGGGCATAACTAAGTATTCATCAGGTTTTACTCTGAGACCCTTGGGGAAAGAACTTCCTGCTGACTTCAAGAAATCAAATCCTCAGGGGGACAGGACACCTTGAAGACAGTGGCCAGGAACCCAGTGATGAAGGCAGGCGTGTGATGGTTGCTGATACCACATGTATGGTATTTGCCCAGCACCAAACTGTTCTCCATTTCTCCCACACCAACTAGGTAGGTGTCCAATGATTCAGTTCAATTCTGAGACTAATCCAGAGTTAGTCTCAGATTCCACAGATTTAGAGGCTCCGTACTATAAGACTCCCCCCACTTGAGAAGTCAGCCATCTAGGGGGTGTCCAGGCTGCCCATGATTCTGCCTGGCTGACTACACAAATTGGGGGGTTCCCATGATGCCCTCCTCAGGTTTGACAATTCACTGGGTGCAGAAGAGACGGCTACCCAGACTGAGACCAGAAATGATTTTCTCTTTCAGGACTTGCTTGGGTATTGGGAGATGCTGAAGAACTGCCCTTTGATGATGACAAGTTTGATGTTTACACTATTGCCTTTGGGATCCGGAATGTCACACACATTGATCAGGTATGAATGGCTGCATCCTCAGCTTGAGTGACTCTCACGATATTAGATCTCCTGGAATGGCTCCACGGAAAAGGAGGAAGGAGGGAGAGATTCTTCACTCAAACCAGCTCTTGAGTGGAATGACCATGTCAGGCTTAGGGGCTTCAATCCTTGAAGTTGCCAATTTTCCTACTCACAAAATTGAAAAAGACCAAGACCACAGAGCAGATCCTCATAGAAGCCTTTGTTGCTTGGGTTGGTATTCACATCTTTGAGCTGTCTGTCTTGCTCTGGCATTCCATCTGTTTCCTCTCATTTGAGAAGTTGTCTGACTCTGTGAGTTTGCAGATCAGTGGCATTTCCAAGGCCAACACAGAAAAAGGCAAACACTATTTTGGCAGAAGGTAGCTAGAGTAATGGGTTCCTCTATAGGGAGAAGGGAACATTCAGCTTGCAATCTGACACAGCTTTTTGTTCTTTTTTTTAAGATTGTATTTTTAAGTAATTTGTTTGTTTACTTATTTATTTTGAGAGAGGGAGAGACAGCATGAGTTGGGGAGGGGCAGAGAAGAAGAAGAGAATCCCAAGTAGCCTCCATTCTGCCAGCACAGAGACTGATGCTGGGCTCAAACCCACAAACCATGAGATCATCACCTGAGCCGAAGTCAGATGCTTAACTGACTGAGCCACCCAGGCGCCCCTATTTTTAAGTAATTTCTGCACCCAACTTGGGGCTCAAACTCAAAACCCTGAGATCAAGAGTCCCATGCTCCACTGACTGAGCCAGCCAGGCACCACCTGATGCAGTTCTTCTTTATTTCTACTTCAACATTCTATCCCAAAGCATTTGAAGGTAATAGGCAAGGTGCCACGTTTTGGTTCTATAATGGGCGCTCTAGTTATCTGGTTTCTCTGCTTTTGGTGGGACTTTTTTTTTTAATGTTTATTTATTTTTGAGAGAGAGAGAGACAGTGTGGGCGGGGGAAGGGCAGAGAGAGAGGAAGACACAGGCTCTCACCTGTCAGCACAGAGCCTGACATGGGGCTTGAACTCATGAACCGTAAGATCATGACCTGAGCTGAAGTTGGACTCTTAACTGACTGAGCCACTCAGCCACCTTGGTGGGACATCTTTATGATGCACTTCAGCTTGGTTTTTATGACCTGCTTGTGTATGTAGCCAGTTTATTATTTTAATTTCAAAAAATGTTTTTGAATAGGTTCAAAGTACAAAAAGGTGTATCAGTGAAAGTATGCCTCCTATCCATGTGTCCCAACCATTCAGTGCATCCTCTCCCTCCAGACAATCACCAATTTCTTGTGTCAATGTCTTTATTGTTTTTTTCTTTTTTTATACAAATATTAGCATATGAAACATTTTGCTCATTGCTTTTTTTCCATTAAATATGTATCTTGGAGGGGTACCTGGGTGGTTCAGTCAGTTGAGTGTCCTACTTCAACTCGTGGTCATGATCTCGTGGTTCAGGAGTTCAAGCCCCGCATTGGGCTAGCTGATATCAGCACAGAGCCCACTTCGGATCCTCTGACCCCCTCTCTCACCCTCTCCTCCTCCCCTGCTCACATACACACATTCTCTCTCTTTCTCTCTCTCTTAAAAATAAACATTTATTTTATGCATATCCCAATAGATGCATTTCTATAAGATAGGTTCCTTGAAGTAAAATTGCTAGATCAAAAAGGATATCCACTGTGATTTAAATAAGTAATTGTAGGGATGCCTGGCTGGCTCTGTTGGTAAAGCATGTAACCCTTGATCTTGGGGTTGTAAGTTTGAACCCCACGTTGGGCAGAGTTTACTTTTTTTTTTTTAATGTTTATTTTTGAGACAGAGAGCGCAGCAGAGGAGAGGTGGGGAGATACAGAGGATCCAAAGCAGGCTCTGTGCTGACAGCACCAAGCCCGATTCAAGACTTAAACCCATGAACCATGAGATCATGACCTGAGCTGAAGTAGGACACTGAACCAACTGAACCACCCGAACCACCCAGGTGCCCAAGAGTTTACTTTTAAAAATAAAGAAAAAAGGGGCGCCTGGGTGGCTCAGTCAGTTCAGCATCTGACTTTGGCTCAGGTCATAATCTCAATGTCCGTGAGTTCAAGCCCCATGTTGGGCTGTGTGCTGACAGCTCAGAGGCTGGAGCCTGCTTCGGATTCTGTGTCTCCCTCTCTTTCTGCCCCTCCCCTGCTCATACTCTGTCTCTCTCAAAAATAAACAAACATTAAAAAATAAAGAAAAAAAATCCTGAAATAAGCTTTTAATAAATAATAATTGTGAAATTGGCCACCATGTAGTTATACCAGTCTGAATGCTCCAAGTAACCTTCTCTTCGTGCCTATAAAATTTAGAATAGTGTAGGGTTATCTCCGCTACTACAGCTTTCCAGCTAAGAATGCACAAGGGAGCTATGGGAAATGCTAACTTTTATAATGCCCACTGAAGCTCGAGCTGTCTTGGCCTCATGGAATTGAGTGAGTTCTGCTGAGGAGTATGTTCTCTTGTTCCTTGTCTTGCTCAGGCACTCCAGGAAGCCCATCGAGTCCTGAAGCCAGGAGGACGGTTTCTCTGTCTGGAGTTTAGCCAAGTGAACAATCCCCTCATTTCCAGGTTGGCACTGTTAACAGGGCTTTATTCTCCTTGTCTAGCCAAGGGCTTCCCATCCCCAAATGGACAGAAAATAGCCAGTAAGCTAGAAGCATGAACCTCATAGTTCAGAGTCTCTAGGGGACACAGTGCCACCTCAGGTCAGCCAGTTCTAACGACAACACCTAAGCCAGAAGAATTTCAAAGGCTCAAGTTGGCCCACAGATGTATTTTGACTCATCAGTTTTTAAGAAATTGACTTAGATGTTCATATTTAAAAATCAGGAAGTTTTACATGAAAATTTCCAGCTTCAATTGAGAAATCAGATGTATGGCAACACTGAGAAAGCACTTATTCCCACATGGCAGTAGTCAGAGCTGAGTAGTGCTTGTCCCTTCTCCACTTCTTTTTAGATTTACTTATTTTGAGAGAGACAGAGCACAAGTGGGGAAAGGGCAGAGAGAGATGGGGACAGAGGATCCAAAGTGGGCTCCACGCTGACAGCAGAGAGTCCAATGCAGGGGCTCGAACCCATGAACCTGTGAGATCATGACCTGAGCCGAAGTCAGACACTCGACCAACTGAGCCACCCAGGCGCCCCACGCCTTCTCCACTTTTATGCTACTTCCTAATTGTACCTTGTTACTCCCTATTGGTCTTGCACCTGGCCCGCATCGCTTACTTCAGGTACTGACCCTACAAGGCATTTGGATTTATGACTCCAGGCCTAAAACTTCTTGCTTATCAGGGGTCATGTTCTAACCTTAATCTTTCATCCTTTTCTTTAGTCTTTATGATCTGTATAGCTTCCAGGTCATTCCTGTCCTGGGAGAAGTCATCGCAGGAGATTGGAAGTCCTACCAATACCTTGTAGAGAGTATCCGACAGTTCCCACCTCAGGTACAAAACCATAATTTTACAACAAAGGGCCTAGAGTTTAAATCCAGGTGATCCTTGCTGTATCTTTCTTTGTGTTTTAGGAGGAGTTCAAAGAGATGATAGAGGATGCGGGTTTTGAGAAAGTGACTTACGAAAGTCTCACATCAGGCATTGTGGCCATTCACTCTGGCTTCAAACTGTAACTCCTTTGCTGTTCTGGAGTGTGTACCAGTCACATCCAGTCGAAAGCCTGGAAGTAAAGGAAGTGAGACCAGTAGCAGAACATCTCCTCTTAAGGAGGTGGGCCTTGGACTCATGTTCTGATGTGACCAATCTCCAAGTGGAAGAACCAGATTCCTGTCACTTTGTTGCAACTTTCATTGGGAGCTGCTTCAGGCCTTCTCCCAGAGGTATTTGGTCTATATTTTGTGCTCAACTCCTGCTAATTTTTCTTGGCCGTGCAGTGTGTAGTTGAGGTAAAACTTCTCATTTTTTAAGTGTATTTGTAGCTTCTCTGCTGGTGCTGCCTTCCAGAGGGATAATGAATCCTTTGAACCCAATGATTATGTGAACTAGAAAATGTCCTAGCTGTACCTGAGTCAGCCTTTCAGCCTAGGACTAAGTCTGGGGCCAAAAACCAGGGCCCAAGTCAGAGGGTTAACAATCACAACTAGAATTATGAACTGAACCACTAAAGGAGTTTACAATTTGTGCACTATTTGTTATTTCTTCTTGGGGAGGGATCAGTGAGGGAAATACATTTTTGTCAACACTCACTCATTCCTCTTCCACCAAAAATGACTACTGTATCCTCAGTGCCTGTCATGAAGAAAACAATAAATCCTTGTTGAAAGAAAGAATAAATGTACCAGCCAACTCCTGCTTTTGTGT